CGCCTACCGGCAGCACGAGAGAGAGCGAGAGAGGCCTTCGAAATGAGGAAGTATAATCGGCGCTCGCATGTCGGGTCGGTGTTACGCGCAAGGAGGCGCATGTGAGACGCTGCGAGCACTAAGCATCCACCCAACCCACGCGTCATTGTAGGAATGCTTCAGCATGTGCCCTTGAGCAGCTCGAATAACGGAGAAGCCAGACCGGGCGCCTGACGTAGGAGGATGTGGCACAATACTCGCGGTGGCGAGAACATGGGAAGAGCGAGTGCCGGAAACCAAACTTGCCCCCGTCGGGCAAGGCCGGCCACCAAAGAGCTAGGCTCGAGATTACGGAACACGTTTGGCTACAATATGTGAACGCAGAGTGCATAACCAGAAAAGAGTAGGTTGAAAACACGCGTGCCACGTCATATATAGTGTTGGCATCTCGCGAGGAATCTGTGATGTCATACCCATACGGACACACCGGAAACTGAGGCGGTTTGTGAACATAATGCGTGGTTGATTCAGCGCCAAGTTTTTACGATGGCAACCTCGCGTGGCAATGTTAGGAGCACTGCAATTGAAAATAGATGACTTTGCCGAACCGTTCCCAAAGACCACGTGACGAAGCACGCGTTATAATGCAATCTTTGTTGTATTAGTAGAGGTACATAGTGGTGGTGGTGGTGATAGGGGGGCGCACGTTAGCCATGAGGATTAAGTTTCATACGATTCGTACACAGATTTAGGCTTTCTGTTTGTGCTGTCATATTGTTCCACAAAAGTCAGCTACGTGTGCACTTGCTAATATTGTTTTGTGCGAACTGCAATATGCATCTGCGCATGTCCTGTAAATGGTGCCCAATAGCACTGAAACCGCCAGATGTTTTTGTCAAGAAATGTTGACAAAACTAGTATTATAACGTCAAAAAGTATATACAAACGACAACCGCGTACGCATAACCTTTGTATAAAAATTATTTGTAACCTGGGGTAACGCCACCATCATAGACGGAGAGTGAGACGGGACAAGGGTGTTAGTCCCCTTATCCTCCCGCCTCACCAGAATGAAAGTGCCGACTTTATTTCAAATAAAATTAATTCATTCATTCAGGAGCAGATAGCAGACAATCTGTGTTGTATATATTATTAGCGAAAGCGGCGGGCCAAAAGCAAGTAGCGACGACGAAGAAAGATGTTTTTGAATGCGATCAGCAGTGTGCTTCGTTCGTATACAAGCGTGCAAATTTTATATGAACATGAATTTAAGAACGGTTTTAATAATATTCGATGTTTCACATCCCAAAACCACGACATCGTTATGAGATGTCATAGTGGAAATCTCCAGAAATTTAAACCATCTGGTGTTGTTTAACATGCACTGACATTGCACAGTACACGAATCTCTATGATTTCGCCATCATAATGCGACCACCACGGCCGGGTTCGAACACGTGACCCTTGGGTCAGCAGCCGAGCACCGTATAGCCAGTGTTCCACCGAGGCGGACTTGCGAAGGATTTCAACGAGAATCGCGCTCCAACGTTCGAGTTGGAAAACCACTTTACGGCTCCCGAATTAATTTCAGCCTCACGCATATTCGATAGCCTCAAAATTTGTAAAACATTATCGAGAGTGCATTGTCAAGCACACGTGTTTCGGGAGACCACGTATGTCGTATTACAAGAGACTTAGTGATTATTTATTATTACGTTTGCGCTACAGCAGAAGGAAATATATATGAAAAATAACTCCACGTTAGTGGCTGCTCAGCCACCTGACACGTTTAGCGCCGTAAGGCGCCCACGTATAGCGAAGATCAGCTTCGAACTAACCGCTATTTCGTGCGCGCGTAGTTTTACATGCTACAAAGGTACTTATGTCGTAATATTTCGACATTTCATGCCGGTCTGACAGCAGCGCATCTTGTATGCCGAAATCTCTCGTGCGACGACGTTACGGACACATGTCACGCCGGGGCGACGAAACGATTTTGAATAGAGCAATGCCAGAGAGAGCGAGATGAGCTTTAAGGAATGCGGGACACTACACGCGACCAGAATACGGCTGCGTTCACCGCGATTTTGTTCATCTGCAATGACCACACGCTTCAAAAGCTTGAAGGAAATTCGAACGCGGGTAGTGAAGGCTTCGGCTTCATTTCGAAACTCGTCACTAACGCCGAGGTCAGCTGAAGCCGAGACCTTCACAAGGTGGGCGTTCTACTTTGCTGGCGTCTGCCGGATGGAATGCCTGCCGCGACCGCACTTACGAATTCACTGTTCGATAGATTGGCAGTGGTGCTTTTTTGGGGGCCTTGAGACTCATTGAATCTTTTTTATATATATAACGAAGTCACTGCCCAAGTGTTTAGTCAGTGCATACCTGCGTTTCTTATTCTGTGTTTATTTCTCTGCTCTACCCATACGCCCATAGGCGAGCGCAGAGTGAATGGTTCCACGCCAGTGGGATGAAGTGTCACCCCAGCGTCCTACGACCAGTGAGACACCACGTTGAAGTCTCCCTGTCTCACTGCTTGCTTAAGCAAACCTCGTTCGGTTAATTTCATTCCACTTCAACTTTGTCGCTCCCAAATGAGGTAATATGCGAATATTCTTAACAGCTGCAAAGTCACGGCACACGAACAGTGTTATTTCCCTAGTGACTTGTCCAGCTATCGATTATCGTTGTTTGTATTCCATGTTAGGTACCTATGGTGTTGCGATGAAATTATACTCATCAGCCTAAGTACATGCATGTTTCTCGCAAAAGGTAAAGGCCAGACTTCGCCTACCTTTTCGGATGTGTTAAAACAAACAGATGCCATGCGGACGTTTATCGACCTCCAGAGAGAACCCGTGCATATATGAGAGAAGTGTCTTTTAAAACAAAGCGGCTCATGAGTATACGTGAGATAATGCAACGTGAAATAGTACAAAAAAGAACAGCGTGAACGAGGGACTAACGAGGTGACGCGTCCCGCCTCGTTTGCTTCTTGTTTACTCCTATAGCTTCTCGTGAGCCCCAGTGGAGGAAATAACATTCAGTCTACTTACCTACGACAGTGACGCGAACTTATGTAGCACCCTGAAGCATGTGCCCTTATGTGCCGCGAAAATAAAACCGTAAAACAAGCCTCTGAAATACACTTACATCGAAAGTACGAAAAGAGAAAAAGCTTTTTTAGGGGCTCTTTTCTCTATTAGACCTAACTAATGAAACAGACAGGACTAAAGATAGCGTACGGGATATTATTTCTTGTTATTTATTTTTTGACTGTGTAATGTAATGACTGGCCTAAATTGAAAGCAATAAAACGTGACAAAAAATTCCTCTTTTCCATCGGTGAAATCTGAACGCACCACCTTCGAATCACATGTGTGACTCTCTCTCTACCTAATATAACACGCAGTGGGTCTAGTCAGTGGTACATTCTACCTTAAACTTACAAACTTGTCTCCGTCAAAAGTAGCGCTGTGATATTTTAAATACGAACGATTCTCAAACCATTAATTGAGGGAGGGCGCCCTCTCGTCCACTTTGTAGAGGGCTCATGTGCGCTGAATACTTGGGAGTGGTAGCCAGCGCCACCCACAGCCAATCTGGCGAGTCTGGAACATTGTCTTAGCCAAAGGTAGTCACGTGGCACGTGACCTTCGTACGAGGTGGCAGCTGACCACTGAACCATCAGATGGTATACCCAGGGCATCAAGTCAGCCGGGACGAAGCCCCAGCTCTGAAATCGCGAAAACATTAAAGTTACTTGCGTCTTGAAACAGTGAAGAGACACTTTACGCGCAAGAAGTATTGTAAGGGACATGCGAGTACTTTCTCCCTGCTCATTTGAATTTATCGTTATCCCTAACAACGCTCAGCGTTCAAGTGTCATCAAACGGTGACGCTTGCTCGTTCTCTCTAGAAAAAAAAAAAAAGTCCTTATTCTCCTTGCTCTCCACTACCTCGCGACGTTGTAAACGTTTAATTATCTTAAGAAGGAACAGCGAAGAGAAAAGTGAATGCTGTGCAATCAAGTCAAAAACAGATCATGCCGTCGTCGTGGTCCAAGAAGAAAGAAAGAAAGAAAGAAAGAAAGAAAAAGAAAAAAAGAAAGAAAGAAAGAAAAAGAAAGAAAGGGGTAGAAAAGTCATCACTTTTGCAGCGAAAGAGACAGCACTGCAAAAACAGGCGAAGGTTATGCCGTTATTGCTGATAAACATGGCAGGCTTGACCTTCAGACCAGGTGCGTAGCGCTGCCTTTGGACGTACTACGCGAGATCAGCGCTGCCGTTCCCTTTCGACTCAGTCGGCATGCGGTCGTCCAAAGCGTGCCTCGGTACACCCTCCCTGGGCAATGAAAATGGGCCACAACCAGTGAAACGTACACATAGACGCATACCGCAAAAAAAAAAAAAAAAAAGAAAGCTCCACGCAGCCAACGCAAACAAGACAACGGGAGCCGCGAACGCTCTTGTACCGTAATCGACCGAGCGGCGAGCCGCAGACAGGGCGGCGGGCACAAGACTTGGGCCGTTCTCGATGCCTCGTCTGCTAACCTACGCTTTCTTAACGCCAAGGACCAGGAGCGCGAGAATAAGCGCGTATAAGGCATTCGGAGAGAGAAAGGAATCTTCGTCCCCAAGCGTTCGTAACGAGGTGGACCCCTCCAGCTCGTAGTCACAAAATAAAAGGCGACCGCAGACGCGACGTCATCCTCAAAAGTTTATTCCGAGAGAGCCCTTTTCCGCGAAGACCTTCTGCACATATCGTATTGCGAAGAGGGCCTCGCTATTGCTACTCGAAGAAGAGCGGTAAAGAAAGGAAAAAGGAAAGAAAGAAAGTAGCAATGCCGCGAGAAAGGGAAGTTATTTTCTATTCACCGGCGCTGGAGTTATCGGAAAGACAAGCAGCGAGGAGGTCTGTCAGAGTGAGCGGCCGCATGGAAAGGGAAGGTAGAAAGAGCTTTCGACGTCGGCGCCCTCGAAACGGGGTCAGCGCAGCGAGAGGGTCTCTCGGTGGCCACCGTTACAGGCTGCGAAGTGAAATCCCGAAAGACCAGTTGTCGGCGAGCCAGTCTCGCCCGTATAAAACGCAAGCCGGTTTGCGCGGGCGTCTCTCTCCTTAGCGCTGCGCACGTCCGCGGGAGAGCGAGTGTGACGCAGATACCGCTAGCCGACGGCCGGCGAACAACGGCTTCGACCGCAACTAGCCTCCGGCGAGAGCGGCCACGTTGCTGCCTACCAGCTTTCTTCGCGCGTATCCGGGAAACATGGCGTCGACCTGACCGGCCGGCGTTCCGCCCCGCGTTTTCATCGCACGTAGAGACGAGAGAAGAAGACCCCTGTGTCTGCAGTGAGAGTGAGTGAAGTGACGAGGTATTGTGCAAGTGACACGACATTCGTCGCTTATCGGTCTCCGAGTGCGCGCCTGCAGGATTCTTCGCGCTCCCATCTCGCTCATCGTCGCGCGCTTTTGAAGGGCGCGGGGAGGCGACACAGCCGTAACCTTGCCAGACGGTGTTCTTGAGAGTAAAAGGATTGCATCGCTCTTCTTTCTTCTCTGCTCCGAAAACCGTCCCGGGACCAAACAACGGCCGGATAATGCACGTCAGGTAGGTGGCGCTGCTTACCTTCTCTTTTTGCATTTCGATGGCGCTTGTCTTCTGACACTTCCGGCATGTACGCCGCTTGACTCGGTGGAGACGTTGTACCTCTTTAGCAAGCGAAATGTCAACAAAGAAGGCGTCTGTTTTGTTACAGTCAGCTGTTTTCTTGTTACGTGCGTAAAAATTGCATGCGTCTCAGATAGTAATTATCAGAAAGGGCACGATCACCACTTGCCCTATCAAGCACTAACTCTATTCCTGTTAGTACATGGGCTGATTTCGTTCATTTACTTTCTTGATTGATATGTGGGGCTTAACGTCCCAAAACCACCATATGATTATGAGAGACGCCGTAGTGGAGGGCTCCGGAAATTTAGACCACCTGGGGTCATTTACTTTCTTTATGTTGGGGGGGGGGGGGAGAGGGGGCATCTCTTAGATAATGCAATAAGTTCCGCGGTTCGTGTTTAGATTTAAATTTTCGGATGTTCAATAATTACGCAAGCCCATCAACGTCATGCCACGTGTAGTAATAAAAAATAGAGGAGTTCGTCCCCGAAAAAAAAAAATTGTGTCATCAACTGAAGGCTGTTTTTGCCGCAAGTGTAGTCATAATGCGGAAAAGCACCTCTAGCACAAAACAACAACTAGATGTTTTTTTTTTTATTTGAAGATCCCAATTATTGTAGAGGATAGCCTGAAAGAATTGCACAAAACAATCTAGTATAGGCCTCACATACTTTTTACTGAAGACACCTTTCTTGCCAGCAGTGTTGTAATGCCCGTACGCTGCCGTGTTTCAATATTTATGCATTTATACGAAGCAACGAAACCGCGGTGCACGGTCAACTTTCTGGCTGTTTTAAAATTTTACTCGCTCGAGCACTCTGAAGAAAGTACGAAGAAGTAACTGGACTGACGAGTATGCAAATGGATGCGAAGCCTTCGCCTTTGAGACAAACAATTTACAGCGTCGTCTTTATATAGTCTCGTTGAGTACGGCGTAGTGATTGCAACAAGGCACATAAACTATTTTTCTTGGTGGCTTTAAATTTTTGTGACTAAGTGGCTAATCCCTTCAAAAACCTATTAAAAATGCAGTGTTTTATTAACTATGGCATGTTTGCAAGCACTGGAGTCTGCAAAGCGAGCTCTATTCTCATCTTTCGGTAGAGTGTAGCCAGCGCAAGACTTACTTATATTAGACTCTCAAAACTGCAATAATTCTCAATGCTAATAATTTTTTATTCAATACCCCGCGAACAAGCTGCAAGTCACGGAATAACATACTATATTAGCGCTTAAATCATACATAACATAGGCGTGCGACATGCACAAAGTAGACATGCACAGATTTAGGAGAATGGGCTGCTAACGTGTACCAATACACGAACCATTTCGCTGAAGACATGACCAGGCATTGATGATAACACTGTGTGTCCATCTGTTTGTTTTTTTTTTCCTCATATGATATGCGAATTCTGGTAGCTGCATTATTATGCCAGCATACCATTTACGTTTAGAAGAAAACCTTGACAGTGCAATCGGATGTGGCAATATTCACGATTTTGTACGCCTCACTGGCAGAAGGCACTGTGCGACGTAGGAGTGAATGCTCGATGACACACTACGCCCTGACCACAATGAATGCATGGCGAACGTTATAGCTATGAAGGCTATGAACGGCACATTTCCCGTGCTGCCCACGCGCGGATGAACTTACTTCATTCTGTGCGTCAATGATGATTTTGTGTCGACGTACAAGTGAAGAGGTACAACGTATATGCAGCAAACTTTAGAGAAGAAGTGCAACAAGGGTTTTCAGGGTCTGTTTGAATTGACCTACAATGCCGAAAACGAAGGGAGCGGGGGTTAGTAGTAGAGCAGGAGTGATTATGAAACATATTAGCTTTAATTGACACAGGTACTTGGCCGTGGTCACCACTGCATACGCGAGACTTCAACAATGTCGAATGCACAGGAACCAGATGCGGATATTTCGTGGTATCGTGTATAATCTCGTAAATGAGAAGGCATTCACCGGAAAGATTATAAGGGCTGACGTATCACCCCCCACCGAAACGCACCACGAAAACTCGGACAATTGACGGCGGGTCCTCTTAGCGCACCAGCGAACTCAAGTTGTGGTCCAAAGACCGAACCGAAGCCAAGAGTTGACAACACAAACAAAATATATTTTTAGTTGAGGCACTGCAATCATTACATACAGAAGTACATACGTGCACATCTGGCCAGTCTATACAACTCGGATGACCTTTAGTACAACCGAAATAATCACACCAATCACGCTACGAATGCAATCTCGTGAATTACGAAATCTTGAGAACACGTATGGTCTTGAAATATTCGCCAGTCGTGTCCAGTCCACACGAAATCTTGAAATGTGTCTCGAATGTTCCTCTTCGAGGAAACACCCACGGAGACTCCAGCATTGGTTGCTATTTCCTTCATAGTTGGCCCCTTACGTGACTCTTTTGCCGCTTCTGCACTGACTACCTGACTCTCCGTCTATCCCACGTTATATCAAGCCGCGCTCGAGTTCGCGAGTATTCCACGTGGCTCGCGTGTGCAGCACAGCGAAAGGCCGGGAACTGGCTAGACCCTTCTGGTAGGTTCTGTTGTGTAGACGGACGCACTGCAGAGGCAGTCGCATTGGCTTGTCGCATTCTTTCGATGTTGCCTGGTGTTCGCTTTCACGGCATGCGTCGTCTGTAGACGATCTGCGAGACGGATATGCCTTGGAGAAGCGACCGTTGCTGGCGGCTCGAATCGCGGTGCGTGATCGGTTGGCACCGTGTTTCTACGCGCTTTTGAGGGTGGTTCCAGCGCTCGTTTGTGACACGCCCCAGTGCTGCCTTCTACAACGGTTCAGATGTCGTTGATGATGGACGAAGAAGGAATCTCGCAGACTACATCAAGCAACTCAAGCGCACACAGGCAAACGCGTATGGACTATGTAGTCACCCAGAAAGCGTAACAGTGCGGGTGTTTTCAGAGATAGCCATTCCACTTCCTAACTGTCCCCCTCCTTGGCTCACTCGTGAACCACATACCGGCGCGTCGTGTGGTGGCCAACGAAACGGCACACTCCTTCCTCCTTCCATTTTCACCACTTTCCTGGTCGCACAGATAGTACGATAAAAGGAAGATAAAGGGCAGCAGGAGATCGAAACTAACTGTACAGAGCACTTGCGCAGTCCGCGGTATACGCACAGAGATGAAAGGCAAAGGAAAAAAAAGAAAGGAAGGTTTATGGCTGAAAGTCACCGAGGAGTCATAGCCTCCTCAGTTTTCTCCGTTTTGTGGTGGGACTCTGGGAGAGCAGCCGCCGGCGAAGGGAAAGGCGATTACCGCCGTCGAAGAAAACAAACATGCAGCCCTACAGTTACAATGCCACCAGCAGGAAACGAGAGGAAGCCGCCCGGCACGGCTTAGCAAGTCTTTCTCGCGGTTTCTATTTTCGGTCGACGCAACCCTTCTTTCATACCACCGAAGCGGGTCACAGGCACACTTAACGCTTCTTCGAGTATAGGTTCCGGAAAGAGACCCCCCACCGAGGCTGCAGAAACGAGCGTGCAGCCTGCTGACGCCACAGCTGATTTCCGTAACGCAGGTGGGCATACTGCTGCTTTCCGAATACCGGACGTCTACTTTTAGCTGCTAGCACGACTAGCCAAATGCTCGATGCAGTTACCGCCACTATCGCTCTGGCCAGCTTCGCATTATGTCCACCTGCATACTGTCCATCAAACGTTTGCCGTTTCTTCCTCGTCTTTCGATTAGCTCGATTTGATTAGGTTAAATCTGCGGTGGAATCGTCTACTCGGTTTCTTTATTGCTTAATACACTAAGAAGAAGAAGAAGAAGAAGAAGAAGAAGAAGAAGAAGAAGAAGAAGAAGAAGAAGAAGAAGAAGAAGAAGAAGAAGAAGAAGAAGAAGAAGAAAGAAATTTCAGCGGTCTTTTTTGTTTTCATCCCGCCGTTCGCATGTAGTTCTTTCTTATGGCGGTCCTTCCTTTCCGTTCTTACGCGCCGCTCATAACTTTTTTCGCATTCGATAGCTGCGCGCAATAAAACCCGCCACGCGCGTGCACTGCTGGGATAGCACTGCGGAAGCCCTACGTCCGGATTCGCAGGAACACACATCTGCGCGCCACCTCTGGCAGAATCCTGTTGCCTCGGAAGGCAACGCGTCCCTCTCTTCGTCTTGCGTGCCGCCGCGTGATTGCTTTCCCGGTGCGGCACTAAAGCCGCGGCAGAAAAAAACGAAAGAAGGCGGAGGATCAACACACGCTCGGCTGGCTCGTGGCCCCGTAACAATAAAACGCAATCTAGCCGTATACGGTGTTGCACGCACTGTTGCCATATACGCAATATGCGACTCGTGGAAGCTGTTTCTAAAGAAGGAGAATGTACGAGGAAAATATCTTCCGCCCCATTGCCTTTTCATTTTCTTGATTTATTTGCCTTCTCCTCTATTCTTTTTTTTTTCGTTTTTGTAAACGACGTTTATAAGAAGTGCTTCGCTTTTCGAGGAAGCGTACCGCTAGTTTTACGCCTGGAAACTCTTTAACCCGCATTGACCTGCTGATTGTTACTTCGGAAGTGTTGTGCCTTCTTGACATCTGCAAATCCTTTGGCGCAGCCACCTCGTATGTCATTTTAGGAGCACCGTTAAACGAGGAAGGACAGGAATAAACAACTAAGCGCTTACAGTAAGATCCGCAAAACGTAACTAAAAAAAGAAGAAGGTGCATTCAGTGCGTGACTTTTTGCGGAAGTAGGTGGAAACATCGGTGCGTGCGAGCTAACCACGACTTCCGGAAACCTCCTCTTCATCCACTTACCTTGTTTGTCAAAGGAGCTCTAGAGACAACGAATGAAGCGAAAATTCGCGTAATCATTTGTTGCCAGTGAACCTGCGTAAATACCAGCAAAGCCTTGATACGAGACTTATATGAATGCATGGGGCATCTTTATCGTTCG